GGAGGAAGAACAGGAGGAGGAGGAGGAGGAGGAGGTGGTGGTGGAGCTGGAGGTGCAGGTGCAGGTGGAAGTGGCGGTTGCCAGTATGGCTGGCCATTGTGACCACTGGCTTGTGGATGCCCCGTCGGAGCACTGAATCCGTGTGTCGGTGTTCCATGAACCTCCAACCCATTTCTAGTCCCATCCCCATAAACATTCATCCCCATGAAGTAGCCAGAGAGCTCTGAGACTTCACTTCCCTGTGGATGACAATTGTGCATTGCCATTGCCGAGTAATTACCATAAATATTATGATTCTGGCCAAAAATTATATCTCCAGGGGCTATGGGGCCTCCTCCCTGACTAATATCTGGTCGTAAAACAAGCCCCTGGACTCCAGAATAAAGCGGCGATTGATTATAGTTCATATCGATACTATTGTGTTGGGAAAAGCCTGGATAGTGTGTGTGCCCTCCCCCATAAGGGCATATCTGGGTCTCAGTTGTTTTAACGTTCATGTGCTGACACTCTTGAATAATAGGAGGAGGAGTTGCGGTAAAGGGGTGGGTCGGTGAGGTTGCAGTATTGGTAAGAACCCTATCATTACTCTTGTTAGAATTTTTTCGCTTGAAGTTGTGATTTGACGTTTCCCTGGGAGATTGCGGTGCACTTGCTTCGGCAGGACTCTCTCGAATGTCCGCCATATCAGAGAACATCTTTGGTGGATTGTCTGGATCAAAGCGATAAATCGAACCATCAGAATTTGTGTATGGCTGATTAGTTCGTGGATTCATGATTATTGAGCCCGGTGGAACACTGGAGATACTAGAAACGGCCCACATGACGGTTTGAGTTGAGTGAGATGAATCAATGGTGGTTGAATTGTTCGAACTAGTGTCTCTGTGATTACAGGGTAAGGTTGGAATGGGCGATGGTGATGGTGAGGGTGATATAGTTGCATCACTCCTCTGGCTCTGGCTTTTGTATCCACTGGAGGATGGACTGAGCCTCGAGCACACACTGGCCCCAGAGTCCTGTTTAGTAAGTCGGGCTCCAGCGCTTCGTGTCGAGGAAACACTGTCACCCCTGGCAAGCATGCCCCGAGTGTAGCCACCGAAGCTGAACGATTTGGAGACTGAGGGCCTAAGAACACCCCGGATATTCTCCCTTCCGTCGCATGACTCGCCCTTGGACAAGCGGGTTCGCATCGAATTATGATCACCAGGATGGAGAAGACGATATCTCGCAGCTGATACATCAGAGCTCTCCGATGACGACCAGTACGGCCAAGAGGTCACCTCACAATCTCCACTGCTATCCTTAAAAATCCTTCTCCTCACCTTCTCGTACTCCTCCTCCCGCTCCTCAAAGGACTTACTCCTTCTGCAGTAGTCCCCCCCGGACATTCGATCGGGTGATTTGAAGTTGAAGCCGTCCTCGAAGGAATTCGAATCTCTCTTGAGAATACTCCGTCTTGGCTCCTCGGTAAGCAAAAGATCCTCCCTAATGTGCTCTTTGAAGCGTGTATCTGGAATTCTCATGTTTTTCGTTCGCGTCACTATCACAGACAATCCTGATTGATCAACATTGTGCTCCATACCGAAATAAGCAGCAACACGATGCACAAGCATACGATTGTACGATGACATATTGGGAAACTTGTGACAAACTTTTTGACGATCCTTGGCAAAATCAATGAGTTCCTTCTCGATTTTGAGAAGAACAGATCTATCCTTCTGATTTCTATTTATCGTTACCGCGATAAATTGCTCGAGATCAATTCCTGTTGAATCAGTATATAATTCTGTACTACTATCTCTCGATAGACATGGTGATATATTTGATATATGTGAGTCTAGGCTGCTGCTGCTGTTTAGCGATCCAGGATGGCGTAATTTGTGACGCGATGATGAGCGCATTGACAGGCTATTTGAACACTGATTTGGGCACTGATTGTTGCATACTGATAGCGTGTTTGGTCGTCGGCTGTTGGTTAGATGATTGATTTTTGGTGAATGGGTTGAGGATTTGGACGGTGATCCGGGGGTCTGCAGAAGACCTGGACGATCATTGTGATTGTTTTTGACGCAGTTGTTGCATTTTTGGGAAGGGATGTTGGGACTTGTAGCTTTGGAACGATAAACTGGCTCTTTGTCCCGAAGGGGTGATGAGCTTGGTGATTTGGCATTGGGAGATGGGGTGGACTGGAGTGAATTGCGCTGGGGCGTACGACATGTTGGCGATGTGGCTATTGTGCGGGTTTGCTTGGGCGAGTGGGGCTGGCTTGTCAAGTTGCTGTTATTGTACATAGACTCGTTGTTGTTGTTAGTCAACTTTGGGCTGGGTGGGGATAGGGAGGAGGGATATTTAGCTTTTTCTGTGGCTGTTGGGCCATTGTGAGCCTCACGGGGAGGTGAGGTTGACTCTCTCATCGCATGACTACGAACCAGAAGTTTCACCTTTGTGTTTATCTGAAATAATGGAGCTATCATCATACTCCTCATTCTGTTGCCATTCCCCAAGAGTAATTCAGCATGATGAGCCATTTTCATCGGTAATTCATAATAGACAAAATAATTCTTAACTCACCCTATTCCGACTATTATTAGATTCCGCTTGAATTTTGTCAGGGGAATTTGATGGTGGATGTGCCTCGTTATCCGTTGAACTATTATCAACATTGACGTTGACATTATCGTCTAACATGTCCTGGTCACTTTGCACCGTGTATGTCACACCACCGTTACCACCACTGACTGATATAATGGCATGTTTTGATGATGGTAATGCAGGCATCACCGATGATACACCAGTTGGACTTGACGACCTGCTCTCCGATCTACTGCATCCCTTGTGGACCACTATACTCGGTACTACAACAAATTAATATTTTTATTCCCATTTTCAAAATTACAACTCGTCTCCACATCACCTCTAACCTTCATCTTTACCTTCACTTTCACCTTCACCTTAAAAGCTATTTATTCATTTTCCTTTCTAACGATCAATTGATGAATAATCAAAATAGATCCTTTTTTCGACACTCAAACTTACTTTCAAGTCGTGCCATCAGTCCAATTGACTTTTTCTCCCCTTCTATATTACAATACTCCTCTTCTACTTATAATCATCTAATGATTTACATCACTCATCACTTCTTTACATACTGATTCACTACGGCATCATCAACCGTTCACCGTCGCCCATTGTAAAAAAAAAAACATCAAATTAATCGAAAATCATTATTAATAGCATGATATTGATTATAATTTCACAAGTTGAGGCTCTTTGTCACATAAAAATCTTGATTTTTACTAATACATATATGCAGATATATATTTATACATATATTGAGTTGAGAATAGTGGGATCGCGCGCGTCCCTATGTTACGCACGATCCCAGTCCGAGTGTCTTTGGAATATCAAGGCAACCACCCTGAGCCAATAATATTGGTGTTGGTTGGTGGTGGTTTGATATCAACGCCTGCGCTTTGGGGCAATCATTGAGGAGGGCTAGTGCCGTAAAACTCGACTCGAGAGGAAAACTTGATTCAACGGGTGTCCCAACTATTTTCAATCGACAAATTTTTAGTTGAGTAATGGGTGATGTTGAGGAGGGCTCTCTTCATTTCAATTTTTTTTTTTCCCCCCCATCAATTTATTGGTCAATTCTATTGCTCACAAATCACACCCACTCTTATTTTCTAATCAACCTAAAAACTTTAATCATTCAAACCAATTCCAAATATAAAGATGTATTGCAAAGAGGCAACAGATATTTTTTTACGTTCAAGCATCTTTGCTCACACCAATCACTGATCAATCGAGTCTTTTATGATTATCGGTTTTCAGGGAAGAGCTACAGAGCATTATCAACACGGACGACATCATATTTATTAACAAGTCAGGGGGATGGGAGTAAGTTGGCGAATTTCAAGCGTTGTTTCAAGAGTTTATTACATTACATTATTTCTATGTACGATGGACGAGTAGGTCATACACGCGCCAAACTATAGCAAAACGTGTAAACCATTGAAGCCAGCCGACTTATGAATCATCTTTTTTTTACGTACATTCCCTCAAGTACATCGAGCTATAAAAAATATAGATGATTGGGAAATTTCGTCAAAGGGGAAACCACCTTTCTTTATCAATTCAAATGTAAATTTCGAGATGGTAGTGGTGTGTGTTGACCCGACGAAAATGGTGTCTATGACCCATATAACTCGGATGAGCGTAACTAGGTCATGCACCTTCCTATCCCTGGAATAATACAGGGTGACCTCGATGTTATGTCGCGCGGGTTTTAATCTTATTGATCCAAATGTACGGGGATGGCCCACCAGTCCACAGTCATCATCTCCAATTCATTATTTCTCTTCTCTTTTTTGCATTTTTTCATTCAGACTGTTGGCATTCTTCACAATATCGGTGAATTTTAATGTAAGAACGTAAAGCTTTATGGTACCCATCATGGAAATTCGTTGAAATTGTTTTTTTTCTTCTTTCATATTTAAACTGTCTTTGTAAAATTCAAAAAAATGCCGAGTTAAATGTTGAATTAGATTTTTTTGGCTTTTGAGAGAAAGATGTGAATGATGAGTGGAGAAGTGAGAAGCCTAGGGGTTTAGACAAAGCTATAGGTGGCCCCGAAGTATGCGGCCACGTCCAGGGACAGAGTAGGTCGTTTCCATGGTAACCCTCGGGTGCATCGGACCCCCTGCTCTAGGTGAACCCACCATACCCACATTTTTAATGCCACGCGTCATTTTAACAAATTTTTTCCCTCTTATTCACCTACAATCGTTCTGGCTTATAACCAGCCATATCACCATATCCCCATTATTTTCTTCGCTCAACATAAATCAACGTAAATTGCAAAAAAAAAAAACAACTAGTCAGTGACGAAGTCAATTTTTTTTCATTCAGATTCTGAGAGTATTGGAGCTCATTTTTGAGAATTGATGATGGATTTGGAAGTAGCGAACGCGGAAGCACAGATTGGCTGTACCAAACTATTCCTCCCCCTCCCAACATTTCCTCAGTTCTCTTTGCCCCGTAAAAATAAACCCACTGGCAGTTACAGTCCATCTATTTATACTGACGAAAAATATTTTTGCGACGTTGCCGGCGGTTAATATGTGCCTGGTTCAATGTCTATCGGTGTCTAGGATAACTCATGCAAATTTATCACTAAAATTCATCCAATTTTATTCGCAATTACTCATTTAAAAATTGAAAAATTTTATCATTTCAATATATATATTTCAATGGACTCGTGAAGAACAAGAAATAGTAATCATTAACTGCACTGTATATTACTGAGAGTGGAAGGGAGTAATATCCGCCCTTTTAGAAAATTCTTTGAGGCCTTTCAAAATGTTCCATTCCCAAAACATACACCCGAAGATGGGTCTTCATCTATTCATTTATTTAGCATTGCAGTGAAACAATGCTTGGAAACAATTCCCTTTTATCCGGAATTACTCTAACACTCTATAGTTACGGATAATGCAATTCATTTGACCACCCCCGATGGCTGCCTATCGGGCTTACCATCCCTACTCCAATACTCCAGTGTTAAATAACTCCAAGACTAAAAACAAATAACTTTCTTGCACAGCTCAACATGTTCAACATATTTGTCTCAAATTACAATGGAATGTTCATTCCAAAATGTATAATACATATGTCAAGATTAATCATCGACATTGTCATTTATGCAATTTGAGTTTTTTAATTCCTTCCCATTCCCATTGTTTTCAATTCACCCCTGAAACGAAAAAAATACATGGGCAGATTAAAGTGAAATTGGTTTCACTTGAAAATAGTTTGAGATTCGGGAAAACAAATGGCTGATTGTGCGATAACCTTGAGGTTGTGGCCTTGTGATAGGGAATACCCCTAAAGCAAATTCAAGGGAAAAGAAAAAAAAATCAAAGGAGTTTCGAACTGACTCGCGTGGATGGCGTGACCAGTGAGACAGTTTGCCACCGTTAACCCTTATTCCCATTGGAACCAAAATCACTCAATGACTGCATGTTAACTGCTGAAAATACAATGATTTTCTGCCATGATGCAAACGCTATTGTTAAACGATGATAAATTCACGTGAGCAAGTCGGATTCGGTATATCACATAAATGACATTGAATTGGCCTTGACCTTGGTGAAGACCTTGATCAATGTTAAATTGTTTTTTTCATCCACGATTTTACTCGACGCGCATAATAAATTCGAGACTATAAAATTTTTGTAATTTAAATTTTCATTCTACTGGCATCGTATCTTAACCAATTGAACTTGAAAGTTGGTTTTTTTTTTTTCCCAAATTATATCACTCAGTATTTTCTCCGTCAAAGGTTTTCTGTTTCTTAGCAAATATATTCGTATTTGACTTCAATGGAAATCCTGTGAATTTAATAATTTTGATTAATACGTATATCTCTACGTATAAATAACATCTGTTTATTGTTTACATTGTTCCTCTCAAGCGTTTTATAACGTTATTCCTGGCCTGACCATGTACAGAGTCACACCACTGCAGTGATTATTTCCCTCTCCTCAGTGTATTATAGGGCACTTATATACATGTCAGCTAGATTCGATACATTTAATATGTATTTAACCTCTCGCCCTCATCTAACCTACCCTCGTACAGTTGTCAAAAATTTGATTTATTTATTTATTATTATTATTAATATTTAATTTTTGTCAATTACGATAATGAGGCAGTTGGTTTTTTCATTGGGAACGATAAGAGCGTTGTAATGTGAATGCCGAGCGTGAGGGGGAGAGGGTAGCTCATAAAAGTAGGGCAGTAGTGCGGTAGAGCAATCAATAGATGCTCCAAGTGGTAGGGGATAAAGCCATAGAAACTCGAGAGATTTTTTAGCTATTGTATGTACTGATTAATATATAAAGATATAAAAAAATTTAGGAAATCAGGAAAAATAATGTGGAACCTCAATTCTTTCCTCATTTTTACTGAGATTTCCGTGTTTCTTTTCCCTTTTCTCGATTATTTTTAAAAACTCAAGCTTTACCACAATAGATAGTGTACGAATTTTTTAATTATGTTGGTAAATTAATTTCCAAGAGTCAAATGATAACAAGTCCTTATAGCCAATAAGATCTACTGTCTTACGCCACTCTATAAAAGAGGTTGTAAGAAAAGTTTCCATAACTCACTTAAATTCAAAGATATTTTTCAAAAATTATCAAGTTGTTTTGTTGGACCTTGGAAATGTGTTGCTATGCGTATTCAAATTTTCCACCCCTTTCTATTTCAATTATCTATTTTCAAAAAGGAGCAAACTTTTGAGGTTATACTCTTGAAATCTTATAGATGGCCTCAAAATTACGAACATACAACGTATAAAAGAAATGAAAGAGAAAGCTCATGGATGTTGAAAAAATTTACGGCGGATCCTTGGGCCTCTACGAAAAAGTAAAGAAAAAATGGAAAATACATCGAGAAAAAGACGGTCGGTGAAATGAAGTTGTCATTTTCATTTTTCCCTCCTATGAAAATCTCGAAAAATTTCAACAATCGATACTCATCCCCCAAATCACTGCCTGCTCCGACAATCTAATTTCAAATTATCTCCTCGAAAGATTCTTTAAAAAAATGTCAAGGACGCAAAAGGCAATAAAAAGATGTCACTCACCCTTTGTTATCATTCGCAGTTCCTCTGTTACCATTCCAGAATTCCTCAATGTTTCCAACCGTACAACGCCAGTAATCATTCATGATTATTCGTGATTACCGTACAGATAGGAAGATCCATCTATCAAGTTCTAGAATAAAATCACCACGTCAAATTTACACAATTTGTCTTCACTGAATTTAACCAATTTTTCTCCTTTTCTTAAGATTTTTATTTTCCCAACAACCGGTGGATAAGCGCTATGCGCTATATGGCTATAGTGTTAGATGGAGATTCGCGCATGCGTAAAACTCTCGCTAGTTATTTTACCGATTCTTTTTAAGCAAAAAACCAATGTCAGGTGGCAGCACCTTACTAAAAAAAAAAAAACATAACACACACTTTGCAATTGTAAACAAATTCCATCTTGCACATTTCATTGCTGAGAGTTTTGTTTAGTAGCACGGTGGATGAGGATTTTTTTTTTTTTTTTGGAGATTCAATGATGAATTGACAGGGGAGCTAGGCAACTTTTATTTATTTCTCTTTTTTTCCCCTGAGAAGATCGATTATTTACGACAAGTTAATAGTAAAACGTTGATGATACTTGATAAATTTTGGTTAGAATCTGGTGATGGTTTGGAGCCATGAGTGAGAAGGATGAGTTTGATCTCGAATTTGATGAGGTAATTGGAAATTTAAGGCATAAGAAGGGCAATAAATACGACAAAATATTCAATAATGTAAGTTATTTACCTTTGAAACTTCAAATTCAATGATATCATCTCTCAGGAATTTTTGAAAGGAGTGGACACTGAAGAAGAACTCTACTACAGCCAGTGTGAGCCTCTCAGTAAGGATCAACAAGTTGCGACGAAACGTCGTCGCCTTGAGTCTCCCCCAGAGCCTTGTCGACCAACTCATAACCTGTCCTCTCGCAAGCATCATATACTCACTATATTCTCTTCTTCTTCAAACTCCCCAGTCAAGTCCCTTGCCCTAGCAACTCTCAGAACTTCTCCACTCCCCACCGAGATTTTCAAAACTCCTCAGAGATCCCCCTCAGTCATCCCCAGGTCCTCCTCAACTGTGAAAACCCTTCTTCATAAATCTAAAAATTCCACCATCACTCGAACTTCGGATCTCCTAAAGAAAACACTTGTCAGAAAATTTCCGGGGCCTGCAGGACTCCTCCCCGACGCCGTTAACCCTTCAAATTCTCCAGAATCGCTTAAGCCCTACCTCAGCCTGTTCGACGAGCATGATAGCACAACAACTAGCAGGTCATCCCCAGAGAAGTTGAACGACTTCTGTACCCAAGACACTAAAAAATCATTCCTCGAGGGGGCCTGGTTACGAATGATGGACTCCCTCCCCACCGATTTCCTCCAGGGCTACGACATCGCCTCGATTAAGGGCACCTCCACTAAAAGAATACCCAGACTGGCTGTTGTCATTCAAAAGATCGATCAGGCCGGTGGCAATCCCAGGGTTATCCTCAAGGACTTGTCGGGTTCGATAGAGGGAATGATGCATCGAGATCTCGCCATTAATCACCCCAATATTCTGCACTCTGGTATTGTCCTCCTCCTCCAAGACGTTGGTATTCTCTCTTCGAAGAAGACCTTTATCAGGACAAGGACTGTGATGTTCTCCACTGATAATTTGGTTGGTGCCTTCTCTGAAAAAGGTATCGTTGTGAGAACACCGCTGCTCGACGCCATCTCCAGCGGTAATTACGAGAAAGTTAAAAGTAAAGTTGCAAGCAAGAGTACAAAGAGGATAAGACAATGGGGAGAGCAATTGAGGATTGAGATGAATTCTTCTCAGGAGAAGATGGAATTTTCACTACGAAATAGAGATGGACCAATTGCGGAACTGATTGATCAACCAGGAAAATTTATCAATTCCTCTGTTCTCTGTGGAGATTTGAATCGTTCGGTGTCGGTAGAATTATCGAGAAAAGTAGAGGTGGACGGATCGAGTTGTAAAGATTTTTGTGAGGAAGACTTCAATTTCGAGGATGACTTATTTAATGAGATTGATGTGAGTCAATTTGATGATGCTAAGGGCTCTCAGGACAAGGGAAGTGTCATCGAGGCTGTAGCTGTGATTGAACATGGTGTGGGAGGAGAAGAGGAAGAAGGGGGAATCGGCGATGATTTACTGAACTCAGATACAGATACTGATGATGAGTACTTATCTCAAATCGATCTCGAAACCATCGCTAACAATGCCAGCTTGAATAATTGATCGTAAGGGCATATAGGCTGTAAATATCATTCATCTAATAGTCTTTAAGATTTTTCAAAGTTGTTAATAAATTTTTTTTACAAAATTCTGAGGCTTTGGTTTATTTATCCTAGTTTTGTTTTTCATGTTAAATTAATTCTCATTCTGACAACTTGATCAATCAATGCAGAGCAATGATATTTGTAATCCACACGAATCAACTTGTTGTAATCCTTGGCATTGAATTTCCACCACTAAATGACGGGTTAACATGATGACAATTTTCTCATTGTCTCTGATTTAGCAGTAGTCACCGCGATATATGATATTTCATCACATTCCACGTGGCTCTCTTTGTAGCTGATGAAAATAAAAAAATAATTACGATGTGGAGTAAGTGGCATTGAGTGAATTATCTATTTTGGCATAATTTACACCACATTCATTCCGGTTAGTAAATATCTATGTTTTTAATTGGGTAATTTAACTCGATAAAAGCCAGATCTACTGGTATTGTTAGAATGACGATTGAGATGACTTAATCTGAAGAGATTGAGGTAAAGTGGGATCCAATAATTTATTATTGGAATTTTTTTTTTCAAATGATGCAATTTTTCTCATGAAAGTTTGATGGAAGAGTCCACGTATTAGATTGGGCCCTCAGTTCCCGGACGACTCGTTTACGTGTTCCCTCACCACTAGGCTCGGAAAATTAGCAGGATCTAATTTTCAGGGTCGATCCAATATCCGTAACGTAACACCCACCTCCCCGATCAATTTTTACTCCCAAATAATCGCAGTGATTTCCTATTTCTCGATAAAAATTGTGGAGCCCATTGGTGATGCTCATGTTACCAAGTCTCGGGGCTCGGATAGAGATGAATGGACAGACCTTGCCATTGACTCTGATCGCTGACATTAAACACGAGAGGGGCATTCACTATGCTATTTCAGGCATTACAGGAAAATAAAAGCGCTTCCATCTTATTTCCATTGTATAATTTTACTTCCTCTTCCAATGCTCAAACAATTTATATAATTAGGTAATTTATTTAAAAACGAAGATTGTATACTTGTATTCCGCTTAATATTATAAATACATCATTATTACGAGAGGGAGTAATTATTCGATGCTGAAGACTAAATTTCTTCTTTCTTTTCTAAGGTAAAAAAAAAATCATGAAATAAAAGAAAAAGACAAACAAATTCCTACAATGTTACAATTACTTGTAAATTACTTCTGCATAATGATAAAAACAGGAAATATAAAGGAGCTCAACATTGCATAAGTCAACTATTTCACTCGTACAATTTTTTTTTTCTCACTTCTATCTTCATTTTTATCCCTCTCTTTTTTCTATTGCTATTGAATAACTCAGACAATCTGTGAAAAAATCGATCGGACATGAGCACGACCTTGAATTACACTGGGTGTGCAGCTGAATTGAAGTGAAGATTTTTTTACTCCAGACCTAAAAGAAAAAAAAAAGAATTATTTTGTCATTATTTTGAAAATAACTGAAACGCTAATTCTTGGATTTAAATTGCAAATAGTCGGAAAAAATACGCAGCATGTGAATAAAAATTTCTCTTTAGCGAGTACCGGATAAATTGTTGCGAAATAAGGAAAGATAAATAACCTGGATAATTAATTGAACCTAGGTAATCCCTCTGCGATTAAAGAGGAATTCCCCGCTCCAATTGTTTCCTCAGCTTTGTTTAAAGGAAAGAGGAATATTTGAATGTTGTCACATAAACTATGATGATAATCAGGTGGTATTGATAACACAATTATTGGCATATCATGCTAATTAATAAATTCGAGAGTACTACTCAAATGTGATTATTCAGGATTTTAGCATTGAGAGGCTTGGAAAGAATCCTTGGAGTTAGTAGGCCGGAAAAATTGTCACTTGTCACTACTCTTTACGTAATATATTTCTTTCAATTTGATACTCTGCCAGAGGCATTTAATCATGATAATTGGATTTTTTCATTAGACGGAGAATTTTTTTATTTCTATTTATCCGAGGATGAGGTATAAATATTTCAGGATAACATGAAAAAAATATACTACAATTTATAATACCACTGAAATTCACTTTAATTCCGTTTTATCATTTGGGATTATCTGAATTTTATAAGACTCTGATATTCCTCGAATCTTATCAATTTCATCATAAACGAAAATACAATTACTATATGACTTCAAACTGCTTTATGGGAGTTACAATTCATAATTTGATTTGATCATTGAAATGATAATCCAACTGTTGCAATGACGTTACGCTGTACAATAAATGTATCGTTAAGGTATAAACAGGTCAGGGATAGATAACAGGTAATAATGTGATATTAAAAATGCTTTTATTGGCTCTTGTATTTATTGGCTTTGTTTTGCGGTCATTAGCGATCAGATGTAATTTGATGTTGCTTTACGGTAAATTCAACTATGAGGGAAATCTAATAAGCTCAAATAAGTCCAATTAAAAATTCAACTGATAAAATTAATCATACCTCGTGTGATATTCTCTGATATTTAATATATCGGATGCACCGATAAGATTCGTTAACTAGACCTTGACACCAACTCCTCTGATAGCCCACAGCTAGTGAGTATGAGTGTATTAAAAATTTAATAATTTTGACAATCGCTAAAAATCATGACAACAAATAGCTCGAGCATTGAAAATGCATTTTAAGGTGGAGGTATCTGGCCTAGAATTAAGGGGGAGGGGGTCTGACAGTGGTGGGAGATTTTTATTTTCACATGACAGAACGGAAGAGAGACGAGTGGCAGTCGAGCAAGTGTTGGTTCCGCAGGTTTAGCGCCGTCTTTTTAACAGTGCCAACCGTCTATTTTATACAAATCGTAAAAGCCAACACACCAGCTATACAAAATCAAGAAAAAAAAAAGAAAAAAAATCTTATATTTATTAAAATAAAATACAAAGGGAACAACGGCAATTATTTTTTCACTTGAATGTTCAAACGAATGAGAAATTCAGCGATCCCGGAGTCAAAGCAAAGAATGTGGATTTAATGATTCTTGGAGTTTTTTTTTTTTTTCACCGATAAGCATAAATATATAGATTTTTTGAGTGGTTTTTGCTTCTCTCATGGTATCGAGCATTTGTTCGCGCCTGTTGAGTTTTACCAAGGTGAGTGAATAATTGAGTAGTTTAGAGGATGATAAGAGTTTGGTGATAACGAGAGTAACTTATAATAATTTCATATGAAACGACGAGATGACAGATAAATAGCGTATAAATTATCTACAATACCATTAATGCAATATTTTTTTTTATTCATTTTATTTTTATATTTGGATTTTTATATTTTTTAAAAAAAAGCACACTTTTCACTTTGCAATAAACTCGAGCTGAGCTCAATCGATCAATTAATTCCTGACTTATGAATACTAAATTAGTGTGCGCGACTTGAAACACACCTATTTTTCACATTACCAGCCTCAGAAATTGACTGATTTACCTTCAATGAAATACTCATATTATTGTGGTTTTCGTAAGGTATTTAATTTTTTAAATATCAATACGCTACGCTAGAGATATTTGGAGGTATTGGAGATAATTTTCAGTCAAATGATATAATAGATCGATGTGTCAATAATGTCTCCCGGTTAACTGCTATTCATACGGAATAAAAGTAAAATCGTTTCATTATGCAACAAGAAGATTAGTTTGCAGTAAAAAAAAAAAAACTGGCCACGTACTAGTGTCATCACGAGTGGTCTAACGACCTCGATAACGCTGATATCGTCCTTAGAATCAGGTCCTTTCATGTATAATAATTCCAACCATTGGGAAATTCCGTATGCAACGTTCACCATAATCCTACGCACGTCCTTCATTTTTTATAATCATCAATTTGTTATTCCATTTTAATTGTGAAGCAATTTTTTATTCTCCAATAGTAACGGTATATGTACTTGTAGCAGATGCGATATAACGAGGGAATAGTTGGTACATTAAATAGCAATTCCTTCAATTCTATGCAAACGGATGGGAAAATACTCGTTAGTTGGCTGGTTAAGGTTCCGACGTGATAACGCACTTCTCTATTTTTGCCATATTTGCCGCAACTTAAGAACTTGTCAAGATTATTTTATCGTTTTCACATTTTTCATTTAATGCATCGCCTTTACTTCAACTTCAACTACTAAATTTAAAGTGGTTCCTCTCTCTCTCCTCTAAATACCTCCAATAAATTGTCCAACGAATTTACTATGCTTTTCTATTTTCTATTGTACTTTATCTCATCGTTTTGTGATGAATGATTCATGTAAAGCGATGAATGTCAAGTCAGCATTGGAATAGATGGAAAAACATTGAAACAATCAAACGAAATTCATTTTGGTTGAAAAAATTAATGAGCAAAAAATCTGTCTCGATCCAGTAATTTTTCACCACAATCATGTGATTGTGGAATTTTTTCCACTTAACGGGAATGAATATGTATTTTTTCAGGTGGTTAAAATTGACAGCGTTGTCAGGATTGTCGCATTAACCGACCAATTATCAATTGTTCTCCGTCATATGTACGCAGGGGAATTTATTTATTATTGAAGATTTAAAGCGATTGTCACGTTTCGCTGCTGTCGGCATTCCTTGAGCATTTTTTTTGCCATTTTCTCGGTGGAACAAAAGAATTTCCGATTCCATTGAGGTCCGGTTGTATCATCCTCACAATGCCAGTTCTAGTTGTTTTTTTTTTTTCTCATTTTTCTATTCATGATAAATAAATGAAAGAACTCGTTTGTTGTCTGAATTAACGGTAAAAGTTTGATTGGGCGTTACCTGCGTGAGAGTTAGAAGTTATTAAACCCGGATTTAAACGAGAGATTATAAAAGCTCCTTCGAATCGTCCAAGGTCACGATCGTAGGAGTCTGCCCTTTAAAATATAGATGTAGAATTCAATCCATTATGATAGAGATTGATTAAGATAATTGATTATTGATATAGAGAATGAAGGGATCTCTTCAGACTCCCATATGTTGAGGAACGTTCAACTATGAGTTCATGGCAAGTCAGATGAGTAGTAGTAGTATTTTAAAATTTTTTTTCCTCTAGCAATTGCTGATTTTCCTTCATCGCCTGGAAATTTTGCATTAGAGTCTATAGAAAAGTGTCATTGGCTGGACTAGTGCTGCTTGCGTTATGACAAATCTCAATGGTAAGATATTATGTATTAGCATAAAAATAATCAGCCATTGGAAAAAAAAAGGAAAAACTTGTTTGGCCGTGATATTAGTATCGGTCTCAACATGCGATAATAACCAGTATTTACTTTCACAAGTTAACACGATGATTGCGCGTGACAAGAGTTCTAAATGAAAACAACATATAAAGCATTAAATATATATTGAATATTTTATCCTTTCGTGGTTGTTGACTGGAAAAACATTATATCATTATAAATTTTCAATGATTTTTCAGGGTTAAATATTGATAAAAAGTCGGATCCGGTGTGGCAGAAAGTCAATTCGGGTCATGACACTGAAGAATTGGTAAAAATTATTGAAATATTAAATTGAATAAATAATTGAAGGAAATATGAATGATGTTCGATTTTAGGAAATAAAGGGTTACGAACGAAGCTACATATGCACATTTCTGACGTATATATTTTACGTGCTGACACTGGGAATTCTCCGATTATTCTTTCATTGGTATCCTCATTTGCAGCTTTACGCAACTTATCGAAAATGTCCCCTCATTCGGGCAACAAGATTACTCATAATAGTAAGACTCATAAATTTTTAATTCAACCTATTTTTTAATCAATCAACTTTATAATATCAAAAATTCAATATATCCAGCAAATAGTCGCGCCCTACATTTGCGTATTTTATCAGTAATTGATCATTGATTATGATTTTGTCATTTCTCAGGACGATTATCAGGGAAAGTACAAAACATATTCTGTCAAGGATATCAAAGTCATTGGAACAAAGAATTTAAGGTAAATAACAATAAAATATAATTGAAGAGTGAAGGAGATTGTTGGAGATTTATTAATAATATTTGTAGATCTCCTGAGATGTTAAAGAGACTGGGAAACCCAGAAATCGAACTACTCAGTAGAATAGAGGGGCAAAAGTTGAGCATAAGCCTGGAAAATGGTACGAAACGTGATGTTTCAGATTACCGGGCATTTTGCTTCAAAAAACAATGTTATATATGGGATGAGATTCGGAATGAATTTGCAAGGCTTGTTGCATTAGACAAATACGTCCCCTGCAGTGAATTACATCTTGGATTTAACAAAGGTCTCTCCAAGGAAGACCAACTTCTAAGGTACCAAAAGAGATGAATATTCTCCCCTCGGAATTTATATTCATCGCTTACTCAATTTTCAGGCGCATAGTATACGGAAAAAATGAGATAATAGTGCCACTGCAGAGTATAATGGTTTTGCTGTTGCTTGAAGTATTCAATCCATTTTACATGTTTCAAGTGTTCACTTTGGCCGTGTGGTTTGCCGATGGTTACTATTATTACACAGCAGCGATTATACTCATGTCTTTGTTTGGTATCAGCAGTTCTATTCTTCAGACACGGCGTGTGAGTATTAAAAGATAAAAATATTGCATTTCGAGGACACAGTTGACAAATTGTTGTGGGGAGACTTTAAATTTCATTGGCAAATATAATGTGCGAAAAACTCGTGTGAATTCAGGTGAAATGAGTAATTAAATTTGATCCCGATATTTATAACAGAATCAGAAGAATCTTCATGGAACAGTGGCTTCAACCGAGATGGTACGTGTACGGAGAAGCTGCGGTACCTTCGACACTGTTTCCAGTGCTGAGCTAGTACCTGGTGATATTATTGAATTACCAAGGCACCAAGGAACCGTCGTTTGCGATGCAGTATTACTCACTGGACATTGTATTCTCAATGAATCAATGCTTACAGGCGAATCTGTACCAGTCACTAAGACTCCCCTTACCCCCAAAAAAGTTCTGTACGATTCAAAAGAATGTTCACAACATACACTCTACAGTGGAACTATAATAATCCAAACGAGATTTTATGGAGACGGTCCAGTTCTCGCTCGCGTCATTCGCACTGGTCTCCAGACAAATAGAGGAGCTTTGGTTGCTGCAATTTTGTATCCACCACCAGCCGATTTCAAGTTCGATCAGGATTCCTATAAATTCATAGGGATCCTGGCAGTGATTTCTTTCTTGGGATTTCTTTACACCGTTATATCCAAGGCTTCTAGAGGAGTCACCGCCTCTTACATCGCCATCAAGGCACTGGACATCATCACTATTGTCATTCCACCAGCTCTCCCCGCTGCGATGACAGTGGGAAAACTTTACGCCCAAGCAAGATTGAAAAAAGAGCAAATTTACTGCATTAATAGTCGAGTTATCAATGTTTCTGGGAGTATCAATTGCATTTGCTTTGATAAGACAGGAACACTCACAGAGGATGGTCTAGATATGTGGGGGGTTGTGCCTAACTCAAATGCTACACTCCAAGAAGCCGAAAAGAGCATACCAAAGCTACAAAATCATGCAATATTCGAGGGGATGCTAGTCTGCCACAGTCTCACTCTCATAAACCATCAACTCTGTGGTGATCCCCTTGATGTAAAAATGTTTGAGAGCACCGGTTGGAGCCTGGAGGAGCCAGATGCTCATGACACGAGTAAGTACGATCTAGTAGCCCCAACAGTGGTAAAAGCCCCCGATGGCATGTTTACCGAAATAGGAATAATCCAGCAGTATCAATTCTCAAGTTCCCTCCAAAGAATGTCCACGGTAGTTAAAGTCTTAGGAAGCGATAATTTTAGGGTTTATACCAAAGGATCCCCTGAAATGATTCTCAGCCTCAGCAAACCCCAAACAATTCCCTCGAATATTGCCTCGGAATTGCAAAAATATACAGAACAGGGCTACAGGGTTATCGCTATCGGGAGGAGTTTCATAACTTCCAACTATACGACCATCCAAAAGATGCACAGAGATGAATTAGAGAGAGAATTGGAATTTTTGGGTCTGGTTATTCTGGAGAACAGATTGAAAGAGCCGACAATTCGAGTTATCGAGGAACTCAGAGAAGCTAACATTCAAATTCTCATGATAACCGGTGATAATATCCAAACGGCAGTGAGTGTTGCTAAAGAGTGCAAAATCCTTGAGAGGGACGAAACGGTGATTAATGTGACTGTCATACCTTCGGAACACAAAGCCAATGCCACAATTTATTTCAATGTTCAAGGAATACCAGCTATAGTTAACCCACAGAAAGAAAAGCTCATTGTTAATTATGAATCGATTGAAAAGGGATTAACGGCACCGAATTATCGTTTTGCATTAACTGGACAGACGTGGGAGCTACTGAGGGAGCATTATCCCGAGTTAGTGGCCAAGATCTGTGTAAGAGGGGCGGTCTTTGCGAGGATGACCAGTGATCAGAAACAACAACTTGTTACAGAGCTCATGCAGCTCGGCTATTATGTGGCAATGTGTGGAGATGGAGCCAATGATTGTGGAGCTCTGCGAGCAGCACATGCAGGAATATCACTCTCTGAAGCTGAATCAAGCGTTGCATCACCTTTTACCTCTCGCACCCCAGATATTACTTGCGTGCCAAAAGTCATTCGCCAGGGTAGAGCAGCCTTGGTAACCTCCTTCGGAATTTTCAAATTCATGGTGACATGTGCTTTAACCGAATTCCTTTCTACAATAATCCTCTACTCGATCGACTCCAATCTCACAGACATCGAGTTTCTATTCATCGATATCTGCCTCATAGTCAACTTTGCCTTTTTCTTTGGAAAAACTCAAGCCTATTCTGGCAAACTCGCCTCTCACCCGCCCATGACCTCTATCCTCTCCTTTATTCCTCTCACCTCTCTAATCCTCCACATGTCAATAATGTCAGCATTCCAAGTTGCAGCCTTTTTTGGAGTTCACCAATTTCCATGGTTCACACCATTTGTCAGCCACGAGCTCCTGCACTACACGAGCTATGAAAACTACTCAGTATTTTCTATATCAATGTTCCAATATATCACGACAGCAATAATTTTCTCCAGGGGAAAACCTTACAGAAAAGCCATTTACACCAATAATTCCTTCATATTATCTATTATCATTTTAACTGCTGTTTGCATGTACATCACTCTTCGTCCTGCCCAGTGGATAGTCAATATTCTCCAGCTCAAACTCCCTCCCAATCTCCAGTGGCCTCTCATTATTGTGGCAATGGCCATTGCTAATTTCCTACTCTGTTTATTTGTCGAAATGATAATTATTGATTTTGCCATTGAGAAGAAGGTTAAGGTCAAGTTCTACAGACCGGAGAAGAGCAAAAAACAGTATCTCAAGGTTCTTGAGGAATTGAAAGTGGCTGAGTGGCCCAACTTGAGTCGGGACGCTCCGGTCTTACCACTTACCCCTAGTGTAGATAATATTCTCGACAGGGGAGTTGATAATCTCGCCTTTGTTGACGATGAGAGTAATGTTACCAAGTTTTAAGATTTTTTACAACAGTATTTTTAAGGCCCTACTAACGTGCGATACATTCGATTATTCAGGATATCCCAGTTGTTGATTTTCTTATTTCATTCAGATAGTAATATAATAGTACGTGGATATCCTTAACCATATAATTTTTTCAACATAATTCATATAAACATACGATGGAGAAATTAGTATTCGAGAGTGAGAATATTATGTGATAGTCAATACTCTTCATTTCTCTATTCCAAACAATGTGATATAGACTAACGAGAATGAAAATAAATAAGTTGAAATAATTAAATGACACCAAAAATACCTAATAATATTCAATAAAAATTCACTCGAAAAAATAATAAATAAATAAATAAATAAATAAATAAATAAATAAAAAATACTTACAGGTTTTAAGGAGTGATGATATTTTCAATTGACTAAAAATATATTTGTCCATCCAGAAAGTGCAATAAATTACAAATCATCAGCCTAGACTGGTTATCATCGATCGATCCGACAATATCAATGGTTTTTGCATTTTCTGGAGAATACAAGGAAAATATTATTATTTTTTTTTAATTGAGAGTAATTAATTTTAATCTAGGATCAATTTACCTATGATTTGATTTTGCTTCTTGGCCAATTCTCCACAAATCCATGTTCCATGTTGAAGAACAGCTCGATTCAACATTTGTATGGTATTCTCATGGATATTTTCCTTCAATAGTAAATCTGGTAGAGTTTTGATGAATTTTTTGAAGGAGGATTCACTGAAATCATAGTTTAACCAGTCGAGCTATGTATTATTGAGCAATAAATAAAATTTTTGGCATAGAAAAATTTAAACCTACATTTGATAATAATTTTTTACCTCTGGAGTTCGTTCAAACGATGATCAAGAACAATTTCCCCAAGAATCGCAAATAATTGACTCTGAAGTTCACGTTTCGGCTGCCTACAAGCTGCAGAAATAGTCCTTCGGAGAATATTTACGAGACTAATTCCATTTCTATACAAGTTCTTACTCGCCTTGAGAAACAAAACCCTTAAGAATTTGCATAGAGCAGATGAAGCAGCTGCTTCATTGCATTTCCAATTGTTCAATTGATCACATACATACTGGACAACTCTTTCCAATTCCTCTTTCTCCCTCTTACCAAGCCCAACCTCCCTGCAGCTAAGTCCTACGAAAATGAGTCCCAATCCCAAATTCTCCTCAATCAGTCCGTTACCATCGCTCTCACCCTCACCAAAATCATCTTGCCTCTTTATTCGGCCCTTCCGGCCTTTTTGGTTCACGCTCTTGATCAACCCATAGGGAAATCCTCCCATTAAAAATTTACCCACCCCCTCGAGAACCTCTACCCTAAACCATCCACTTATCTCCTCCCCTTCAAACATCTCCAGGATATCCAATAAATTAATCAAAATTCTGACAACAACGCCCAACATCTCAGCAGCCTCCTGTGACCATAGACTACCTTGCTTGCCGTCAACATCCTTCGGCCTCACCTCAATCCAACTTTCCATCATTAAAGGCATCAGGGACTTGACATAACACTTGAAATCTTCATCTCTCAATCCGCCATAGCCCACCACTCTATCGTCATCACTGATATGCCAAATGGCGAGATTATTTTCGTGGGAACAATTAAGAAAAGTAGTTTTATCGTCGACAAAGATTCTCCTTGCTTCACTCTTAATTCCCTCATTTTTCCTGGACTTCAGGTCGTTGATGATTGAGATAAAAATACTGGAGAGACGCTGGAGAACTTTGATTCTCCACTTGATGGTGGTATTCCGCGAGTTTAAGGTAGTTGTGAGCTGTCGAGGGATCGAGGTGTGACTGTGGGTGGATATCATGTCGAGGAAATTGGGGAGAATTTTGTGGGTGTTTTTTGAGAGGAGAGAGGGGCAAGAGTGAATGAGAACGTCAAGGAAATTGAGGGAGTCCTCTTTTATAGATGGGTTGATGTGAGTCATTGTACAGCAAAGATAGGAGACGAGGATTTCAGCAAAGGGGGCGAGCTGGTAAGTAGAGAGGGGCCCTAGGAGGAGAGAGAGAGCTTTGAGAGTGTCCTTTCGAATGTCTCTCTCCTTGTCGAGGGCTAGGGATGAGATGCCCTGGAGAAGGATGCTGAGGTGGGCACTCAGTAGTTCCGGAGGATATGATTGCAATATTTCCTTTAATTCCTGTATGGCTGCTTGGCGGACTGTCGAGTTGTGGTGCTGGAGACGACTTAATAACTCCTTGACATTGAGCTTCCGACGACTGACGATTTCATCGCGCTCATGGGACTTGAGTTGCTCCCTGACGATAATCTTCTTCACTTTGAAACTTGTATCAGTGATATTCTGTCCCTTGGGGAGGGTTTTACCTTTTTTCGTCTTCAGTTTAACTTTCGCCTTTTCGAACTTTAAATTTTTCTGATGTCTGTGATTTTTCCCCATTTTTATTGAGGAGTGACAATTGTCTGTATTGTTGCCTTCAGTGGTAACAATACAGCTAAGCAAAATTAATTTTCAAATTAGTTTTACTGTATTGATCAATAGAAAAAACTAATGATGTGTTTTTTATTTTTTGCTTATCCTTTACGAACATCGAGACCGGAGGTTAAATATGTTGGTCACTGCCGTCACTGCTGCCTTGACCCAGATATTGTCCACAATTGCAAAGATTTATTACACTGAAAACTTAGTTAATTTAAAACTTAATTCATCAAATCCCGAATTAATAATTATTTACAAAAAAATTCACAAATAACCGAAATCACGTGTTTATACCGTGTACGTCATGTTCTGCGCCGCGTGCGTTGCACACATACTGTATTTTATTGCGCAGCTTCGACGCGCACTATAAAAGACCAACTTGACATTTTTCATTCAAGAATTTTTCCACCATACGCTAATGCCATAAATTTATTGAAAATAAAACGAAGAACTCGATATTAACGTTTTATTCGACGTTTAATTCATGATACACGTACAAATAGCAACAATGATTTATAAGGGAAAATTGTACAAATTAAATTCCTAGACCTAGACTAATTCTAACTTATGCTCATCGTAGTGAAACTCAAGTTTATGTGGAGCTCGTGGGCTTCTTCTTGGAGGTGTATCAGACCGGTTTCCTATATAGATAAATGAAGTTACATCAATTCTCTATTTAACTCATTTTACCATTTCGCTACTCATTTTTTTATTGTGCCATTATTATAAATTGATATGAATGAATTTTAAGTAACCCTAAATTATGTCGTTCTCTCCTTTTCACATTGTAGAATTACGTTTCTTTGTAGGATCACTCATTACGTGTTCTTGGAATGACAGTGCATTGAAAGCGTTCAAGTACCTGTAAATCTTTTTACCTGAAAATGGGCAATCAACCCAATAGATTGTTGCACTTGAAAATTTTACCCAGGGGAGAATGAAATCTTACCAATCTTTTGAGTTCCTCATAGACGCTAGGTAGAGCATATTGCATCTGGAATAAAAATAAATGTCTGATTTTTGCGAGTCTAAAAAGCGTTAAAAGAAAAAAAAAAAAAAACCTCAACGAGATGTCGGCGCCGTTCTCTCATCAGACCTGCGAGTCTGTTGCTTGATCTATCCTCAGAGTTCGAAACAGCGTCCTGTAATTAAATTGTATTTTTATATTGGTAATTTAAAACAACATTTCCAAATCTATCTTAAAAACTATCGCTTAAAAACTCGCCTGAATTTCTTGCAGATGACTAATCTCAGCCTCGACTCGTTGAATTCTCCTTTTGAAATCATCGACTCGTTTATTAAGAAAATCAATTTCTCCACTGATCCACTGGCGTTCTTGCTTAATGTCGCTCAGTCTCTTCATAATCCCTTCAGCCATTGCCATTATGTCAGCCGTAATGAAACGAATATTACACAGAATGGGAACATCAACGGCTGTCCCCTTGTATGCATACAAATCACTGTCCTATTCTGTAAATGTCGCACAATATACCGTAAAATCGTGGAAGATCTCGCCACGGACACTACTAGACGCACTTCTCAAGTAACAATAAATATTTAGATGGAACATTCACAAGACTGGACTTATCCAAAATGTTGTTATTGACACGTGTTTGTATGGGGGCGAGGGCGGTTGGGGATGCTTCCCGAAACAAGCCGAACGCCTCCGATTGCTCATTACGGAGCCAATAATATCACGTCACCAATCATATTATATTCCGCGAAAAAAAAATAATTGTCTAATGGTATTTTGGAATTTCCAACTATTTCAGCATTAGTTTTAATTGAGGTAGCAGGTAGTCAGTTTTACAATAACCCACAATAGATATTACACTGTATATTTTTCTGACAATATTTAGCAATAATACTTGACGTTTATTGATATTAAGAGAGTTACAATTTGATTAATAACAGAATATCATTTGGAACGATATAATTTGAAAAAATAGAAGAATAAAAATTTTACTTCAGTAGAGACCACTTGAGTTGCTCCTTGGCAGACTGAAAAACCTAAAAAATTAAAGAATAAGTTCTCAATGAGATGATTTTTTGGTGGAAATCCTTCAACACTTACTATCATCGACTGTGCAAGCATAACAGAGAATAAAATAAACAATTGCGTGCAGGTTAATAATAGATAGTGGTTGGAAGGTGTGTTACCTGCGCAACAGTTTGTTCGCCAAGAGGAATGTCGTCTGTGCGTAGGGCCACCCTCTGGACGACGCTAGCTGCGTCAGCGTCCAGAATAATACTGCAACAAATTTCACTATTAATCATTCAACTAAAAATATTTTTATTCCTCTCGATATTTACCCTCCATCGCAAATTTCGTCCATCGCCAGCATAACAATGTCTAGGCTGTCCAAGACAGCCCGTTTCTCCACATTTCTTCTCAGTATCTGGCTCACCGAGTCGTACAGACAGTTCAACACACTCATTAGGATTAACTACAGTATATGAAGCACTTCATTATTTTATGGATTAATGCGAGCCGTCAATTGATCAAATAATTTACCTCATTTTCATGGGAGCTTCCCATAACATAAAAATACAAGTCAACGTTGCTTCTGTAGACACACGTTAGTCCATCCAACATAATAATTTCTGTATTCGATCTGTGGGTCTTGTTGAACAAGTTCTTCTCGAATGCCTTCTGCTCCTTCGATGTTGGAAAAATATTCTTGTCGTAGTATTTGGCGAGAATTCTGTTGCCGTCGTTGTCAAGGATTGCCATTCCCTTCACAGTGTATAGCGTGGGTTCCTAGCCAATACAACAAGACATCACAATTACGTCAATAAATTATAACAAACCAACCAAAATATGTGAAGAAAAATCACAAATATTTTATACAATTGTTGCATTTGGATCATTAAAATCTGTCTCCAACAATGAATAGAGGTTATGCAGAGTGTTTTTCGACGATGCAGGGCGTATCATCATCTCTATAAATATCCTTTAGTGTTTACTGATAAACCACCAATGACTCGAGAAAACAAAATCACAACTGTTGGGACGAGGGGTAAAACAAAAAGAAAACAAATCTTACCAACAACTGCCCATCCATATTTATGTTTGCAGCGACGTGTCAAATATCGAATGGTGTCACTTGGACCTCACTACGTAAAACAATTGCGCACTGAATTTACCAATTCACGTTAATACAGCACTTTAATTAGTCTAAAGGCTTGTTAAAATTTATTGATATATTCCCGTATACCCCGTCGGATGACGGGGTCAAAAAAATTTTCTTTTATTCGAGGCACATGGTACCTGTAAATTCTCACAAAATCAATCATCATTTTTTTTTTGTTTATTATTATTTATTATTTCAAATTGGCAATTACAGTAACAATACAAGTAATAATATAATAATCATGTACTCCCTCTTTATTAAGTAATCAGAGTGGAAAAGAAATCATTTCAATGGTATCTTCGAAGTAAACTTTTTTCATTCATTGTCATCGCTACTAGTAGACGAGTTATCCATCCATCCTAACTTTCATAATTTTTCAGCATCATGCTCAAGAATAGCCCGTGGGATCCTCAATTGCCATTACACAAAGCTCACTATATCTTCATTGGTATCATTAATGCATTCTTATCGATAAATAATATGGAAAAATGAAAAATTCACACTCTTGATTATCGAGGATTTCTCATTTTGTTATATGATATTAATATACAAAGTTTTCTCTCTTGCATTAATACCATTTACACACTTTTCTCATTTTTCTCACTCGATTTTTTCACTCCACCGATCGGCGCTCCAAAGTTGACAAGCAATATTTAAGAAAAAAAAAAAAAAAAAAAAAAAAAAAAATGTTCAGAGGGCTAGTTCACGCTTATTATGACAACAATAATACTGAAGAAAAATCAAAGCAG